CCTGCCAAAAAAAATATGTGTCTCTTAAAAATTGTTCTACTCTACGGCCTGAGTCATTTGGTGAGATCATAGACAAACTGAGTCCAGTATTTGACCTAAGGACCAGGAGGGGTTGCTGCCAGTGCACAGATGGGTCTTCTATTTGAGCACACACAACCTCAGCAGCTTGGACTAGAAACCTGTGGCCACAGACCCCCTGACGTATTCCTTCCTGGACCTTCACTCTGAATGTTGAATTCCTCCCTAGAGAGGCTGTCATGACTGCAAAGCCTTTCTCCAGTTAGCTCAGCTTCTATGTTGGCTATTCAAAGAGTGCCATCTGCAGGATGAACTGAGGACTCAACTATTTTAATTCTTCAAATAGCATTTGAAGAATCTGTTTAAAATTTGTTCAAGAGCTATTAAACACAAAAGTTAAACTTTAATAAAGGATAATGGATTGCCACATAAATTCTTCAAAGTTATCATTTACGTCTATTTTAATAGCTGACTTAAATGTCTTTACTCCAAAGATTGACCACTGGTAAGAATCACAGATGACTTTACTATCCCAACAGTGGAGATGTATTTGTTCAGGGACTTTACACTGCCTCAACCCCTCCCCGTGGAGCCATTTCCTCTGCCGCTGGCTTGCTTTTCCTTGCAGAAGGACAAATTTCCAGGAGCTGTGACAGATGCAATAGCTCTCTTTCTGCTTTGATTCAAGACAATTTTTTTGAACCTAAATACAAAGAATGGGTGCTCAGAATTCCTCTTTCATTATCAGCCTCAAGTAAAGGAATCCTAAATTATAAGGCTAAAAGAGGTCCCTTCACAGAATCATGACCCTTTAGAGTATTGCTCATAATTTACCCCAGCCTCCTACCCATGACATCTATAGCCTTCCTGACCATATCTCATAAACAGCAAGCCAAACAAAGAACTGGAGCGTCCATGCTCCGGCTGTCATTGCTCTTCTTACTCAAGAGCTTTTCAATTCCTGATTAAATCCACTCCTCTTCTCCCAATGGCCCTCATTTAATTGAGAGAAGAAGCAAGAGACAAAGAAAACCCTTTCCTGCCTAGATTACCCCGTTTTCACCACCTATACATGGCAATCACATTGTACAGAACAAAGCAGGTCTCAGGCAGGTTGACTGTCGGGAGCAGCCTGCCTGAGACTGCCTTCATTGTGGTCAGCATTGGTTTTCCTATGTAAACTAGCAATCCCAGGATGCTAGGCATCCCCCAGAGAGGGGATGATGAAATAAGGCAGGATTAATTCCCAGTCTATAAGATCCAGCTCTGGAGGCTAATTTCAGGGTAATGGGATGGCTCCTGAACCCTAGATAAAGTGCTCCCTTTGTAGCTCACATCTGCTTTTCTCCTTTCTACAGCAAACACTCCTCCTAAAAGCATGAGCCTTTTGGAAGTTAGAACTCTCTCTTCTCTTTCAAAAAAATACAGTTTTATGAGAAAGCAGAGTCAGGAGAGATGTGGATCATGCCAGTGGATTACTCATTGGCAGAACCAGAGAAAACTCATAATAGATGTCAAAGAAGGTGGCAGCATTCCCCACCCTCACCCCCTTTGTCCCACACTTTCCATATGCAAATGGGCCCTCAGAAATGAATGTTATGCCCAGTTCCTATACCTCAATAAGGAGGGACAGCATGGAATTAGGATAAGAGCATGACTCTGGAACCCAACAGACCTGGGTCTGAATCTTAGCAGAGCTGCTGACAAGCTGGATGACTTGGGCACGTGGAAGAACTTTCCGAGCCTCAGTGTTGCTTTCTATAGCCTTCCTGACCCTATCTAGCATTTAGGACTGGTTTAAGACAAAATATATAACGGAAACATAAGCTCTCAAAAACGTGTCCATTCTTTAGTATGAATTTAAGGTCATGTGTCTTTGTTGCTGATGGCAAGGCATTGTCCCACTTGAAAGGAATATCAGACACCAGTGAGAAAGTGGAGGAGCAGATGGGTGCAATGGGACTAGGATGGCCAGGGGCCTGGCTTGGTTATAACAAAATGCAAAAACTGTAGCCTATAATCAAAACATGGGGCTACAAATAAGGTTGGCATTGCCTCTGAGGCCACATGAGGTAGAGGGAAAGGGGAATTGAGCTGGGTCAGTGCTATGGGTGGCTTTGGGAATGTCCTTTTTAAGTGAGGAGTGCTGAGCCATAGGACAGCCCACAGACAGAAGCACCAAAGCTATGGGATGGCCCTATTCCAACAGACCACCCCAGGTACTACAACCTCCACTCTCAGCAGTCAGGGGATACATGTGGCTCTCTCCCATCCTTTGACCCCTAACAGCCTACAGAGGAATGACCCAGGGTGCATGGCCACCGAGATATTTTGGGTCTGTGTTGCATCTTGTCCATCATCGAGACCTGTGACTATTACAATGGCAAAGTCCACCTCATTCTGCAGAAGGTCCTCATTGGCTATAACGATTTCTTTTTTATTGTGGTAAAATAAACAATGTAGCACTTAGAATTTTAACCATTTTAAAGTGTATAATTTAGTGGTATTAAGTACATTCACAGTGTTGTGGTGCAACCATCACTATCATTCATCTCAAGAATTCTTCCTCTTGCAAAACTGAAACTCTGTATCAATTAAACCAGGGGTGTCCAATCAATCTTTTGGCCTCCCCAGGCCACACTGGAAGAATTTTCTTGGGCCACACATAAAATATATTAATGATGAGTTTTAAAAATCACAAAAAATTCATAATGTTTTAAGAAAGTTTACAAATTTGTGTTGGACCACATTCAAAGCCATCATGGGCCACATATAGCCTATGGGCCATGGGCTAGATAAGCTTGCATTAAACAATAGCTCCCAATCCTCCCTTCCCCTCAACCTCTGACAAGCACCATTCTACTTTTTACCTCTATGAATCTGACTACTCTAGGTGTAAGTAGAATCATAAACTATTCATCTTTTCTGTGACTAGCTTATTTCACTTAGCATAATGTCTTCAAGGTTAATCCATGTTGTAGCATTTATTAGAATTCCTTCCCTTTTTAAGTCTAAATAATATTCCATTACATGAATATACCACATTTTGTTTATCCGTGCATCCGTCAATAGACATCGGAGTTGCTTCCACCTTTTAAATATTGTGAACATGGGTGTATAAATATCTATTTGATGATTGGGCATGGTAGCTCCTGCCTATAATCCCAGCACTTTGGGAGGCCAAGGCGGATGGAACAACTGATGTCAGGAGTTTGAGAGCAGCCTGGCAAACATGGTGAAACCCCATCTCTACTAAAAATACAAAAAAATTAGCCAGGCGTGATGGCAGGTGCATGTAATCCCAGCTACTCTGGAGTCTGAGGCAGGAGAATCACTCGATCCCAGGCGGCAAAGGTCGCAGTGAGCCAAGATCACATCACTGCACTCCAGCTTGGGCAACAGAGCAAGACTCTGCCTCAAAAAAAAAAAAAAAAGTCTGTTTAAGTCTCTGCTTTCAATTCTGTTGGGAATACACACTGAAGTGGAATTGCTAGATCTATGGTAATTCTCTTTTAATTTTTGAGAGCCCACCACACTGTTTCCCACAGTGGCTGCACCACTTTACACTCTCATCAACGGTGCACAAAGGTTCCATAGGAGGCTTTTTTTATCCCACAGGTTGGGTCCAATCCACCTATATTCCCTGGCCTCAGATTGCTGCTGACATGGTCTTTCCGGCTCCTGTAAGGCCTTTCACTTTTCAGCATTTACTTGCAGCTCCCCTAAAGATGCAGTAATGCTCCATGACTCTCCTGTTCTTGCTTGGTTGTTGACAGGCCATCTCTTTTTGCATCCATAGCACATAGTCTGTCTGGGGCTGGGCACTTCCCTGGGTGAGGCCTAGGGCTCTGCATAACACCCAAAGTGGGACCCACATTGAGGGCTGTCTGCCTAGTGGGACTGAAGTCAGCTCTGGCTAAAGCGGTGATGTGGTAAAAGCTAGCTCCATCATCCTCACTCCTTCAGCAACATCCACCCCTCTGTCCCATATGGGCACCCTCCCTGCCATATTCTTCATCATTTTATTTTACATGGCAGCTGATCAAAATAATTGGAGAGCAGTATTTCATCTCGAAAATGAAAATTTTCAGGACCCATTTGGAAAACTCCCCAGTGGGGAGAAATATAACAGAGTTAGGACAACATTTTTGACATAGAGGCTCTAAACAAAAAGACAGACTTTGAAACAATTACACTATTAGACAAATGGTCAGGACCTGTCATACAACATCTTTGTATAAATTCAAAAACAGTGCCCTTTTTGGATTAGGTATGCAGCTCAGCTAAAAGACTGAACATTGTATAATGGCAGTTTAAATATTGTAGAAATGACACCAAGGCACGTTCTCTGGGCACATTCTGCCCTCTGAGCGCATGGCTGGTGAGCAGGTGCCACCTATTTCTCCAGGTCCTAGAAGGTATGTGGCTTTGCAAGTAGAGCTGGGACTGATTTTTAGCTCTCACTCACTGGTAGTGACAATCATAAGCAGTAGCCCTGGGGTGATGAGGAATCTAATAATATCATTCCCTCCTGCCAGCACCACCTTGTGGACAAGGCATTTTTAGATCACACCAGCAGGAAGATTTTTTTGAAAGACCATAAATGTGGGTATCTATTTTACCATTTATCTAGACTCCAAAAAAAGACAAAGGACTCCTTGCATAAGGAAGGAAGGCAGCCCAGCAGCAACAGGTTATCAACCCAGCATGCTTCACAAAAACACCAAAGCCACAGCCCTGGTGTCTATGTCTGTCTGTCTGTCTGTCTGTCTGTCTGTCTGTCTGTCTGTCTCTCTCTCTCTCTCTCTCACACACACACACACACACACACACAGCATCTCACCTGAGCCACCTCTTCAAAGTCCACAGGTTATCAACCCAGTATGCCTCACCAAACACCAAAGCCACAGCCCTGGTCTCCCTCATCTAGACACACACACACACACACACACACACACACACACACACACAGAACATCTCACCTGAGCCACCTCTTCAAAGTCATCATGCCTCTTCTGCAAGGCCCGGGCTCGATGTAGGGACTTCCCAACTCCAGTGTGTTTGCTGAGAAAGGCCTCACCATGGTTTTCAATCCAGTCCAATACCTGGTCAGAGAAGGATAACAGCAACAATGACTTCTAGCAGAAGAAAAGACAACATGTGCAACTGCTAGAGTCCTAATCACCCCCATATCCCATCCGTATTGAAAAGCAGAAGTTCAAGTGGATATGTTCAATCCACTGTGAGTCCATGGGATTTCATTATTGGCACTGGTAATATGATAGTCCCACCCTTAACTAAATTCAACTTATCCTTCTTGATCTCTAGATTATTGTTCCATTGCTTTTCCCATTTTCTTAGTTCATTATTTTAAACAAGCCACATAGACCATCAGGCAGAGCTTAACCTCATCACCACTTCTACCCAATTGCATAAAGATATTGGCAAGAAATTAGGTAGCAGCAGTTTGGGCAGCATCTTGGCCCTCACTACTCATCCATCAGTCTGCCATAAGAAGACCCACAGCAGTGGTGACCAGTCATAGGGATCCTGCCTCATTGTGCTCCTGGGACTCCCCTTCCAAATCTTGAAAGCAAAGTCCAGGGTAGTCAGTCCCCAGTTGAATGCTCAAGATATCTGACCACTAGGACAAATGGCTTCTTTCCATTGTCCTAGTGGTCAGATATCTTGAGCATTCAACTGGGGACTGACTACCCTGGTTGAATGCTTTCTAGGTCCTCTGGCTTCTTTCCATCTCTCTCCTCCAATCAATAGCAACCAACCAAATGAATAAAGTAATTATATCCTAAGTCCTTTGGTATCTGAGTCTCTTGGGAAGCAGTGGAGACTTCATGTTCTTCCATGCTAAAGATCCAGTGATTTGGCTTTAAGACAGTTTCCTTGATATTTAGAGACTTTGGATCAGAGGAGTCTGAGCAATAGAGGAGTGAGAGAAAGGGGATGCTAAGAGGGGTAGAAAATAAGTTTTTCTGAGGGGCGCTTGAGAGGCAGGATGGAAATCCTTTAGTAAAAGCCTTAATGTGTAGGGAGGACCGAAGCCTTTTATACTAATTTTGCATTCCTGCAGATGACCTAACAAAAATGTATGCATCCCAGAGATCATCTTTTCATCTCAAAGAGTTGTTGCTCAGTAAATCAGGTGGCCACAATTAAATCAGAATTATAGTATGAACACACCTGTTATAGATCCTGCTAAAACTCAAGCAAGCTCACTAAATACCTGCAATATTAACCATTAACTAGACATTTGATTAATGATAAGCTAGCCCAGGCGTCCCCAAACTTTTTACACAGCAGGCCAGTTCACTGTCCCTCAGACCGTTGGAGGGCCACCACATACTGTGCTCCTCTCACTGACCACCAATGAAAGAGGTGCCCCTTCCTGAAGTGCGGCGGGGGGCCGGATAAATGGCCTCAGGGGGCCGCATGCGGCCCACGGGCTGTAGTTTGGGGACGCCTGAGCTAGCCTTTCCAGATTTTGGAGGCGCTTACTGGAAAATGATTTAGATGAACTAGGTCTATTTAAAAGGATGCTTTACCTCATTCCTGTGTCTCAAACAGATTGCCCTGTAGCAAACAGAGGTAAAACCAAATCATTCCAAAGACTACAAGCATAGGAGTTCTCTGACATTTGGGATATTTTAATATCTGCAGTGTGCCAAGTATGGACATTTTCAAAATCTTTGGTGACAGGATCACAAAGCCCACATCATGACTGTGCTAGTTCAGAGAAAGGTACATATGAACATAAAAATGAGGCTTAACAAACATCCACTTAAAGAAGACAGGTGGAGTAATTGTCTATCACCATGAGGAAAATAAGTTTATTAACAAAAAATGAATTTATCTAAACATTACCTATGGAGATTTTAAACACTTTATAATACAAACATTTGATAATATATTCTGGCCATATATATATATATATATATATACACACATACATATACACATTTTTTTTTTAAGTATTCTGGAGGCACAACCCTAAAAAGAAATTGTGGTAGTGCTAGATTTTTACCTTTTGCAAACACTGAAAAGGTGGCACTGAAAGGAACTTTACATGTTCCTCTCTTAGAAGAGCCTACGTTTCTTTAGAATTACATCAAAACTTCAACCAAAAAAAATCAGGAGAATGTATTTTTACTTGGATTGCCACAATTAGATCTCACAATTCTGTGCTGTAACAGGAGTTATGAGCTCCAGCATGCAAGGACAAAGGTAAATACTTCTAGTCACAAAGTTTTCCATATATTATGTGCCAAGCATAGTAAAGTTTTAGCACTTTAATGCATAAACTTCCATTAATCCCTTTTGAGAACAAATTGAGGTTTGAGGATAATTTTCAGCATACAAAAGAATTACCAGTGGCCATTTATAAATGTATTGGAATTGATAACAGATTTTTCAGACTACATTTTTTTTTTTAAATTTAGTTTTGAGCAATTAAGTATGACCTGCTTGTCTGGCAATGTTTTCATGAGTTTATTTCATTTTTTATCTCTAGCTTTAAGAAAATTGGTTATTCCAAAGCAAATTGGTTGAAGAGGAATATTTTTCATCTACTAGTTCACGTGCATAAAGTGTTTGCACTCCCCAAAAATGATTTCACAACTTTCAAACATTTTTTAAAAGGCAATTTGTTTCCTTTTTAAGTTACTCCGCTTTCTTTAAAATGTCAATATATTTTTAGCTAGTGGCACTTCATTTTACCTAATTGGCTATGCCTTCATCACTTAAAAACCTATTTCTTTCATGTTTGAGAGGCTTTTACTTCAATTCATCTTAACATAACTTTGATTGCCCTATGATGTTATAGTACCATCATTTAGTCCAATTTCTACCATTAGAATTGAAGCTATAGGAAAAATATGTGCAATCTTGACAAAAGTTCAGGAGCTGTGCAGAGATCAATTTAACAAATCAAAAAGCAAATAATTTAGGGAATTAACAAAATGACTTTAGTAATCCAGACTGAAAAAGTACTCAAGGCTAGATAAACATAGTCAATATATGAAGTTTCTGACTATTTTGTTTCAGACAGTTCACTTAGAGCCATTGTTGTGTGATACAAGTGTTTAGACCACATACTGTCTTGATCCTAATTCCACGTCCTCCAACCTTGGGAGTATAATCTGACTTGACCCTGATTCCATGTCCTCCAACCTCGGAGTACAATCTGACTTTACATGCAGATCCTGCACAGCAGAGAAATGTGTTCCTGAGCAGTCACCAGCAGTGCCTGATAATTGTATTACACACTATAAATGTACAGGTGGCTTGAAATCCTGAATATTTGTTGGTTTCTAGTGAGTTCCATTAAGATGAACCAGGCCCCAGAATCTGAACATCACTCGTTAAAGAATAAATTAACTTTCTAGCCAAATCCTGGACCCTAACTAAGTACAAGTACCCATAGAGGTACTCCTTATAACAGGCGTCCCCAAACTGCAGCCCCCTGAGGCCATTTATCCAGCCCCCCGCCACACTTCAGGAAGGGGCACCTCTTTCATTAGTGGTCAGTGAGAGGAGCACAGTATGTGGCAGCCCTCCAACGGTCTGAGGGACAGTGAACTGGTCCTGTGAACTGTGCAAAAAGTTTGGGGACGCCTGCCTTATAATCTTATTCCTGAATTATTTATCTTCATCTACAAGGCATATTTAAAATACTCAATTACCAGTCATAGAGTATACAAGATGATAGTCATTCATACCTATTGATGGCTCTGAATTGGTATTTGAACATTTCCAACTTGGGAGGTTTTACCTTTTTGTTTTTGTCTGAGGGGGTCCTCAGGCAGCAGAGAAGCATATGTGGGTAGGTAAGCATTCACATATTCAGATATTTATTTGATAGTGTTATTGTGCCCTAGTGCCAGGCACTATAACACCTCTAGAGGTGGGGATGCAGCAGTAAACAAGGCAGGCATGGTCTGATGCTGGGAACTCAGTCTTACACGGGTAACAAGCACTAGACACTAAATCACACAATTCATCATTCATTACAAAGGTGAAAAGTGTCAACAGCCAAATGCACCTTCGCTGGGGAGTCATGGAAGGCTTCTTAGAAGAAGTGAGATTTAGCTGAGATCTGAGAGAGTAGGATTTAACCAAATTAGGAATTTAAAGGACCAGCATGGCTTGCACAGGGGTAAGTATAAAATGGACTCCTGCCGGGCGCGGTGGCTCAAGCCTGTAATCCCAGCACTTCGGGAGGCCGAGGCGGGTGGATCACGAGGTCAAGAGATCGAGACCATCCTGGTCAACATGGTGAAACCCCGTCTCTACTAAAGATACAAAAAATTAGCTGGGCATGGTGGCACGTGCCTGTAATCCCAGCTACTCAGGAGGCTGAGGCAGGAGAATTGCCTGAACCCGGGAGGCGGAGGTTGCGGTGAGCCGAGATCGCGATCGCGCCATTGTACTCCAGCCTGGGTAACAAGAGTGAAACTCCGTCTCAAAAAAAAAAAAAAAAAAAAAAAAAAAATGGACTCCTAAAAGGCAGGAACCAGATTGTGGTGAATCCTGACGTGCTGAATGGGAGAATCCAGTGTTCATCCTAAGAGCCACTGAAGGGTTACAGGGAGGATAAAGACTATTTCATTTTCAATTAAAAATTATTGCTCTGACTGGCTAGGTATAGTGGTTCACACCTGTAATCCTATCTCTGTGAGGCAGAGGCAGGTAGATTGCTTGAACCCAGGAATTTGAGACAAGCCTTGGTAACATGGCAAAACCCTGTCCCTACAAAAAAATTAGCCAGGTGTGGTGGTGTACACCTGCAGTCCCAGCTACCCAGGAGGCTGAGGAGGAAGGATCCCCCGAGCCTAGGAGGTTGAGGCTGAAGTGAGCCATGATATCACCATTCCAGGCCGGGCAACAGAATGAGACCTTTTCTTAAATAAATAAATAAATAAATAAGGCTCTGATTGCTTTGTGGAGGATCAACTGGGGAAGGCAAGAGTGGAGAGGGAAAAACCAGAGGCAGAAATTATGACAAGAGGTGATGGTGACGCAGGCAAGGCCAATGGCAGTGTATATGGATAGACAGGTTGGGGGAAAGAATTGCCAGGACTTGGTCATTGGC